AGTGACAGAAATCACCCAGAGCTGTTTGTGAAGAGGATCTGTATTTGTTCAATTATGGACTCTTCTGGGGAAAAAACAGGAAAATGCACCGAGGCAGTGAAAGAGGATTTAAAGGAAGGTGCAGCGGCTGCTTGCGCACAGAGCTCCCGAGGCTGTTGCCAGAAATGTGTCCCTCGGTTTATTCCGTCAGTTTACCGCAATGAGCTTGTGCAACTTTCCAAACTGGCGGGACCAGTGGTAAGACTGTGTGTAAATTTGAAGCTCATTTGAAGTTTGTCACACTCTCTGTCTGTTGTTACTGACAGGAAGAACGGATTTACTACAGAAGATGCACCATGTGTCAATAAACTGTAATTTGATTTAAACGTGGGATCTGGACCCTGGTTTAGTGTCTTATTAATAAATACATTAAATGTTATTTATGTTATTATGAAGTCCTGTTTCTGAATGGACCTCAAGCACTGTAGGACTGTACTGTGTATATCTGTTTAGTATTACAATCATTTAATTTTAAATTAAGTTACTATGTTTTTTATGCATTATTTGGATTACATATCAAATTCCTCCATGTTTTCTTTAAGCCCCCAAAACATACAGTTGCTTATGTTTTTACTATTTTTACTCTTTATCGTGCTGCTGTAACACAGAAATTTCCCTTGTGGGAAGTATCCATCTATTTTAGATATTTGCTATATGTTTAACATCCTTAAGTTACTAAATGTTTTAACCATATTCATTACTTATTTATTTTTCCTTTAAATGTATTTCTAAATACAACACAGAGTCAGGATCTCCTTTTCTGTACTTCAGGTCATTTCCCAGTTCATGATTTTCATGATCAGTTTTGTCAGCACGGTGTTCTGTGGTCACCTGGGGAAAACTGAACTTGCAGCTGTAGCATTATCAATTGCGGTGAGCAGACATTTCAGTGCCTTTGTTGTTGAACCGTAAATATGCATCATTTTTTACCCCAGTTTATGCATGTTGTGTTTCGTTTGCAGGTAGTTAACGTCACTGGTATTTCCATTGGCACCGGTTTGTCGTTAACTTGTGATACCCTCATATCTCAGGTAGGGTTCTCACCGGAGCTTTCACTTTATTTGTGTAACCAAGACAAACACAAGCAGCACAGCTGGGTTCCCAGGTTCTCCTGGAATGCCCTTTTAAACATCTCAACACTGAGCTTTTGTGTGGAGTTATTTTTCTATGATCAGTCATACCCTTGTTCTTTGGTGGGATTCTGTGTTTTCCAACTTTTCTCACCCGAGCGTCTGTCTACCTGTTTCACGCAGACGTATGGGAGCGGTAACTTGAAGCGTGTGGGTGTGATTCTCCAGAGGGGAGTTCTGATTCTGCTGCTGGCCTGTTTCCCTTGTTGGGCCATCCTCATCAACACTGAGCCCCTCCTACTTGCTGTCAAACAGAGTCCAGAGGTCGCCAGGTGAGCCGTTATTAACCAGCAATAACAGACGCGTGGATGTTGTGACACTGCTGAGCATGTGTTTGTCTCGCTCTTAAAGAAACACAAGTTATGCAAAATGCCAAGCACTGTTAGTTTGTGCAAAAAATACAGTGGTCCCTCGCTATACTGCGGTTCACCTTCCGCTGTTTCGCTGATTTTTTTTGTGCAATTTTGCATGTTTTTTTGTTTTTGTTTTTCTGTTTTTACAGTGCATTGTGTCCATGATCGGCTGTCCATTGTCAATCGATCTCCTCCGTGCCGTGTCTCCTGTACAGTACAGAATGCATTCAGCTTGTCAAATTTACATAAATCTTCGATCACTAGCAGTGTGACTCTGAAGTGCTGTACTGTATGTTTGTAAGTTTTCTCCCCAACAAAAACAACAATGTCGACGAAACGTTTTGCACCGTCAAAGGCACCTGCGGTAGCACCCAAGATACAGAGAAAGATGCTAACCATCTCACAAATGTTGGACTTCTGGACATGCTAAAGGAAGGTAGAAGTTACCGTATTTTTCGGACCATGAGGCACACTGGATTATAACGTGCATTAGGCAAAACAAAACAGTCAGATGAGTTAAACTTTACTCAACTCATTGTTCTTGCTTCCTCTACTTCCATACCATTGATTCATTAATGTTTAATTCTCTGGCAGCTGCTCTATTCCCATGTTCTGGACCTAAAAACAGGGTTTGATCTTTGGCTTCATTCTTTAATACTGGACTTATTTTTCTACGAAGGTTTGAACTTTGAGAGTCTTTAAACAGGAGAGAAAAGTGTGAAAATGTTCATGCCTGTCTGAGGAAAGTGTATAAAGTGTGTAGTGACGGTCAAAGGAGCTTGCAAAGGAAAGCGTCTGGACTTCTTTAAGTTACTTGAAGACGTTTCACCTCTCATCCGAGAAGCTTCTTCAGTTCTAAGGTCAAATGGTGGAGAGTCCCAGATATAAACCTAGTGGGAGTGACCCCCCACAGAGGGACAAAAGGACCCCCTGATGATCCTCTAATCGCCTGAGCCAAGGTGTGAAACTGGGTGTGGGTCCCAATCAGCCAGAGTTTCGGGTGAGTTCATTGTGAAACCTGGCCCCACCTTATCATGAGATCAGATGGCCCAGGATGTGAGTGGGCGTTAAGGCGTCTGGGAAGGATCTCAAAACTGGATTATAGATGGCAGAGAGTTGGTGTCGTAAACCCCCGCCTCTGTTCAAAGATGGTCGCTCACAGTGGACATAGATGGCTTCTTTCACTCCTCTTTCAAACCATCTGTCCTCTCCGTCCAAAATGTGAACATTGGCATCCTCGAAAGAGTGTCCTTTATCCTTAAGATGCAGATGGACTGCTGAGTCTTGTCCTGTGGAGGTGGCTCTTCTGTGTTGTGCCATGCGCTTGTGAAGTGGCTGTTTGGTCTCTCCAATGTAGAGGTCTGGGCATTCCTTGCTGCATTGTACAGCATACACCACATTGTTAAGTCTGTGTTTTGGCGTTTTGTCTTTTGGGTGTAGTGACGGGTTTTACAGCCTAAAAACAACATATTTTTAGAACGTAACTCGAGATAAACGGGGCGTCACTGTAATGCAGTAATCGAAAAGCACATTATACCAAACCTCATAGTTTGACCACCTGTAGCAGCAGAAACCAGCTGTTAACTCAGCGGTGGAAATGCATGGAAATGTGTGCTGGTTCTTACTGCACACATTTCTGACCTGTGAGAAATAATTCAGTAGATCCTTGTACAGGTTTACAACCCAACACTACTTAAACTACGTGCTGTGTTTGTTTGTTTGTCACATTGTTACTGTGCCTCGACTTTTGGATAAAGCTGCCAAAAACTTTTAAAAAGATAATTAACATCCTGAGACCTGAGATGCATTTTCAATTTGTCTAAACTATTTGGGATTAGTTGGACCCAATAAGTATAAAAAGGAAGCACCATCATTGGTGGGCTTATTTTACAGCATAACGCATTAAAGTCACCATTGTGTAACACAGCATGAAACACTAATGAGCAGAATGAAGTAAAAGAACAAGCAAAATGGTATGTAACCTTAATTTATGTGCAGTCAAATGTCACCATCATCAGTTTCACAGGCTTACTTTGTTTTTTTCATTTCCACATGAAGCCTCTCCCAGCTCTATGTGAAGATCTTCATGCCCGCTCTGCCGGTGAGTTTGACAGGATTTGATGCAGATTTGGAAGGTGTTCAATATTTAAACAAAAGGCAGGTTGATATCCAGAACTGAGGGTCTTAACAACAGATGCAGTGCTATTTAAGGTCCAGAGAGCATCGGTCACACCTCTGCACACGGGGTGGCTGTAGCTCAAGTGGTAGAGAAAGTCATCTACTAAGGGTTAGGGTTGGTAGTTTGACCCCTTAGCTGCTCCAGTCTGCATGCCTTCAGCAAAATAGTAACCCCAAGTTACTCTCCAATGAATCCATTGGAGTGTGAATGTTAGATAAAAAGCACTTAGGCGTGCTCACCTAACCCTAAATGTGATCTCCTCCCTTTTGTCCCCAGATCTATGGGCGTTGGTGCTTAAGAGGTTAAGGATCGGATGGGTGAATGAGACGTGTTGTAAAAAGCACTTTGAGTGCTCTGAGAGATTAGAAAAGCACTTTATAAGAATCAGTGCATTCACCATTTATCATGTTTGACTTGGTATTCGTTTCTAAGGAGATTTACATTGTTCAACAATACTGCTCAATCTCTAACTTTGATGCCCCCCTCTCATTTATTCTTGGTTGAACTTTGAGGCATAAACTATCAGACAAAGTGGATGAGGGTTAATAACTTGCAGTGGAGGTGTATCAATGTATAGAATCTGTGATAAATTTTATTTCTTTGATTTATTACTAATTATTTGACATGTTCATTGTTTTCATTGAAAAGTGTTAGCGTGCTGATTAACCTAAGTTCCGATCATGTGCTCAAATTTGTTCTTCACTTCTGTCAATGAGTCTCTTATCATTTAATGTTTGCTTTCTTCAGGCTGCTTTCATGTACCAGCTGCAGGGGAGGTATCTTCAAAATCAGGTGCAGTGCTTTTGAAGCATGCATATGGCCTACATTACTTTAATAACTGGTTGTGCTTTTAAAACATTAACATGAATATTATTTGTATTTTGTGCTTTGGTGTACAGGGAATTATATGGCCTCAAGTTATAACTGGAGCAATCGGAAATGTCTTTAATGCAATATTCAACTACGTCTTCATCCATCAGCTGGATTTGGGTGTTGCGTAAGTTTTCCTCCATCATTCCTGTGACATCATTGGTTGAATGTAACCTCAATTTAGTCAGTGAAAACTATATGTGTTTTAAATTCTTTATCTAAATTCATGATCCAGTGAATTTAGGTGAATTACCACAGGTTTTATGGTGTGTTGGTAAATTTGCAGACCCAAATGCAGGACACAAGGATCAAGTGTCCTGCATTTGATCGTTATGCACTTGAAAGACAAGAATACGTTGACCTTCAAAGTAAAACAGGAAACAGACTGGGCACAGAACTAAACCTAAGAACTAGACACAGAGGCACCAGAAAAAAACCCTCAAAACTAAAATACAAAAACAGAACTCAGAATACTAGAAGTCATATACAAAGATGAAGTCATAGAATAACACCAATAATACACAAAACACTGGGTCACCGATTCAGGACCATGACATCATGAGCTTGAGCACAGTAATATTTTTAGTGTCAAAGAGCAAGTGGTTGCAAGGCTCAAAAAGACAGAGAATACATGAACGCAAGCCTGAAAACCCCAGATGTTCAGAAATCATTAAACATACGAACACTGCTATGAGAATTATCGGAAACACCACTAAGAGGGATACATAAAGACCACTCAGAGAAAATATAGAATGCGCATAACTAACCAATTTTAATACAGCTAAACAGGACAACAGGAAAAACAAAAAGACGAATACAATAACAAGACTGAAGCAAACAACATCTGTTTCAAACATCTTCTATTAGAAGCAAGTATCACAGTTGTTACAGGTTAATAGGACTTATGCCCCCTTTTTCTCTAAACAAAACAAGACAAAACAAAAAAGTAATTAAATAAATAATAAATAAATAAACAGAAGAACAAAAAACAAAAAATCCACCAATCGATGATTTAGATGGCATCTAGAGTAGACTTCAAGTCCGTTGACGTGAACCCAACATGTCTTAGGAAAAGAAAAAAAGAAAAAAAAAACCCAAACCCACCCTTGACCCCAATCCCCTGTCTGCCAGAAAGTTACATTTTCCCAAGATATGCAAGTAAAGGATGCCAAATTAGTTCAAAATCTTTCACATTGCCATTCATGGTATATCTTATTTTTTCAAGGTGAAGTGTATTTGTTAGCTCTGCGAGTCACATCTTTAACACAGGAACCTCTTTGCCTTTCCAAAGCTGCAGGATCAGTTTCTTTGCAATCATCAGTGCATATGACGCAAGACTTTTTTGAGCATGTGTGTTTCTTTGGAGATCCCAAAGATAATTGCTGTTGGATTTGGATCAGTCTTGATTTTAAGAATATTAGACAGATAGGTGAAGATGTCACACCAAAAACAAAAGCCTTGGGCAAAGTGCAAAACTATGTAACAAATTTCCATAATATGTCATACATTTTTCACAGAAGGGAGAGCAGTCTGGATAAAATTTGTGAATTCTTTCCCTTGAGTAATGTAACCTGTGTACAATTTTATACTGAATTAGGCAATGACGGGAATTAATAAAAAGCGTATTTATGTTGCGTAAGACCTCCTGCCAAAAATCTTCCGATAGGGAGATCCCAGATTCCTTTTCCCACTCCTCTTTAATTGAACGAGTAGAAGGTGTACTCATCTCCTGTAGTGAGTTATAGAATAATGAGATTCTCTGTTTGGACCCCCGGCTATCACTAAGGCATCTATCCGAGGTATCAGACAACATGCTTTCAAACTGCGGCAGATGTGTGCGGATATAATTTCGTAGTTGAAGATATCTTAAAAAATGGCTGCAAGTAGTCCAAATCTATCTTTTAATTGTTGAAATGACATGAAGGTATCGTTTGATTACACGTCTTTTAATTTATGAATTCCCAGTTCATGCCACACGTTGAAAGCTCTGTCTGCACATGATGGAAGGAAAGAAGGGTTAGATGTAACAGGCATACACGTTGATAGTGGTTTTAGTTTAAAGTGCTTAATTTGAAGCAAACAACATATATCTAATAAGAAATCAATACCAGGCTTCGGAAGACTATAAAACCCATAAGCACAAGGAAATACAAAGCGGCACTATTGAAAAAAATATATAACAAAATGTAGAACATGAATATAAATTGTTTCTCAAAAACCTAAAAGGAATAATGAACTGACAGCAAATTCGAAACCCATCCATCCATCCTCTTTCACTTGTCTTTTTACAGGGCTACAGGGGGCTGAAGCCTATCTTAGGGTGCTTGAATTGTCACCTGTAAATATGGAGCTTTAATTGTTCATTTTTTTCCCTTCTTTTAATCTCTAATGTTTTTATCTTCTAGTGGATCAGCAGCAGCCAGTGCCATCTCCCAGTATTTGTTGGCATCAGTCTTATTCATTTACATGTACTTGAGAGGTCTGCATAAGGCCACATGGGCAGGTCAGTCATTTTACTTCTACGGGGATCCTGAACTTGCTGAAATGTTTTGATTTTGCTGTGTCGTTCGCCTTATTTCCAATTCTGTCCAATAATTTCATCATGTTGCATCATTTAGCTTTTGGCCTTTCATACCTGAAGTTTTCCATTATAAATACTCAAGAGTTTAATGTTTGACAAAAATAGTCATACTCTATAACTGTGGAGTGCAGTGTGGAGGAGAGGTTATTCTTTAACACTGCGGTTCCAATAAACTTCAAGACATCTCTGTAATAGTTAAAATGTGTGGGATTTAAATATTGTTTAATAGTAATGTCTGATTTATGCAAATTCCTCATTAGTAATTGTTGATCCGAGGCCCATAATTAAATCATAATTTAAACCAATAGTTTGAAAGATGACATATAGAGTCACTCTGACCCACACAGGTTGGTCCCTCGACTGTCTCCAGGAGTGGGGACCCTTTGCCCAGCTGGCTGTCCCCAGCATGCTCATGCTCTGTCTGGAGTGGTGGGTGGTTGAAGTGGGAGGATTCCTGGCTGGTGTGATCAGTGAGGCCGAGTTGGGAGCTCACTCGATATCCTACGAATTGACTGTTATTGCATACATGGTAACTCCAGTGAACCTTTTGACTTTTGCTTATATGTTGACCTGGCATTACATTTTGGAATTACACATGGATTTTCCCATAGATTCCATTAGGGTTTGCTAGTGCTGCCAGCGTACGGGTTGGGAATGCACTTGGTGCAGGAAACATCGAGCAGGCCAAGCTGTCGTGCAAAGTCCCCATCATCTGTGCATGTAAGAACCAACACACTAAGTATTATTTTCTGTGTTAAATGAACAGAAAAAAGTAAAAATACTGCTAACTGAGCAGTAGCAGGATTAGTTTTATTTCATGCTGAGCTTCATGACATAAGAATATGAAGTAGAATACATTTCATAAAATATAAATGAACTATTCATCCATCCAGCCACCTTCCAACAGCGTAGCCAATTAATGGTAGATTAATGGTGGACTCTCGGTGCCAAGTCCATCACAGGGCCAACTCAGAGATAGACAACCATTCATATTCATGTATACAGTGACATTAGAGCCATTAACTAACCTAACATGCATTTCTTTGGTCTGGGAGGAAGCTCGAGTACCTCCACAACCCATACAGGGTCCATGGCTGTTCCGTCAACATAAGGGGTCACCACAGGGGGTAGCTTTGCATGATTGATCTGGCAGTTTTATGCCGGATACCCATCCTGACACAGTCCCAGAGGGGATTTGTCTCCAGTTGAAATTGAACCAGTGACCTTTTGCCTATTATGGACCAGTTTGTTTACCCGACCCTGGGCAAAATAGTATGTAGTTGATATGCATTAGAACACATGTTGAATAAGCTGCAATAAATTTGTGGACTATGTATACTTCATGTAATTTTGAGCCTGCAGTTAAACTTGAACCCTTTAAATCCCAGCGTATCGTATTTGATACATGCCTTTTTGTGATCATCAGCGTGACTCCCCCCACCCCACCCCACCCCCAAATGATTTAAATTGCATGACACATTTTAATGACTAAATTGCCAAAATATCGCTCATGTAGCGAATGTGATTCAAGTTAAACCTCATATATGCTGATTAAAATTTGATATATATTTTGTCTAAAGGTTCAACAAACAGTCCATTATCAAAAAATGAAAGATTTCTGGCAGTTATATCATGGTTTAGGTTCTAAAGTGTTAACATAAATTCAACTTGTGCCTTGTTTTTGAACTTGTTTTTGTTGTTAAACGTGAATGCTGTACAATCGTTCCACTTTGGAAAAAGAAGAATAATGAAATTACAGTACATTTTTCACCACAACTGTATATAAACTGTAAAGTTGGTCACCTTTTGTGTTCCTTGTTTTTCTGTTTTTCCTGTGATTTTAATATTTAAATGGTTTTTCTCATTGCAGTCATAATTGCATGCTTTGTTAGTATTATTTTTGGCATCTCCAAGGATGTCATCGGATACATTTTCACATCAGAGCCGTAAGTATCTTTGACCTTTAACCTTGATTCCAGGAAGAGTTCCTCTCTTATTTATTGCTTCTTTAATTACATGTATTATTCAAGATAATCATTTATACCTTTGTCCCAGAAACATGTTGCCCTTGCTATCTAGTTTCAGTTAACTAAAACAAGCCTATGTGAGTGCTATAATCAAATAAATTCATTGTTCATGTGTCCCATTGTATTAAAGGTCTTGTTTTCATTAAGTTTCATATGTTCTTGATGTTTGACAATATTTGTGAATGTACAGACAGATGTACTGAAGCTGAAACTGCACATTTTTTTAGCGATATTTTGCAGAGGGTTTCTGACCTCATGTTGATATTTAGTTTCTTGCATCTTGGTGATGCAATTGCGGTAAGAAATGATTTTACAGCAGTGATCGACATTTCAGGCTAATACTGTCAAATATAAAATGTGATTCAGAGAAATCTGTGTTTGTGTTTACAGGCTGTGGCTGGAGGAGTTGTCAGAGGTGTAGGAAAACAGTCGGTTGGTGCTCTGTGTAACCTGGTCGGGTTCTACATTTTTGGCTTACCCACTGGTGTGTCTCTGATGTTTGCAGCCAAAATGGGGGTTGTAGGTGAGGACTGAGTGAGGGTGGCATTCCAAGCTCCTTTGTTTTCCTTCATAGCATTGGATTGATATCACGTATTCAAGACAAGAGAAAATAAGATATGTCGTACTTTATTTATCCCTAATTTTATATAATAACAATTAATTTTATTATATTCATTAAATAAAACCAGACATTTTGGTAGTTTTTTAGTCGAGTATGTTATAATAATGCCAGGGAGGAAAGACATCAGCAGTGACTTTGTGGAAGCATTTGTTGCTGTCCATGAAGGTTTGACAGAAGAAAGTCTCTTCTGTCCAAAAGGAACATTGCAGCATGGATTAGGTTTGCAATATTGCATCTGATGGAACAATGTTCTTTGGACAGACAAGAATAAAGAGGAGATGTTGGGCCATGCAAACTTCAATGCACACCACAATCACCATCCCAAGCAAAGCACCTCGCTTCTGCGTTTTCTGCTTAGTTTTTGCTAAAGACGTATCATAATATGCCATATGCTGCTATTCATCTAAAGTTGTATTTAAATAATGTTAGAACCTGATGAGGATCAGGCGATACTGGCTGTTAACAGTTGTAACTAAACATATTAATAGACTGGACATAAACTTAACAGAAACCAGACCCTAAAATGACCCCAACTGGGCATTTCATGGGTCCAAATAAATGAAACAGGTGCAGCCTGAAGACAATGTGAGGAACAGAAAAATAAAAAATGTATGTGCATCGTAAAAGTAGAATGATTTTCACTAGGATGTCTTAGGCTTGTGTGAATTTAGAAGGGACACATGCACACACCACAGAAGGTTCAAGCCTGTTTATTCCAGCTGAATAACCAGTGTATGTTGTGTCTTTCAGGTTACAGGTGGATTGTGACAAATGCGTGCTGCGGTCAGAAATTAAATGTACTTCCTGCTTGTCAGAAAAACTATTAAAACTCTTCTTCTTCTGTTTTTTCTGCTGTAGGATTTTGGGCAGGCCTTACGGTTTGCGTGTTCGTGCAGTCGATCTTTTTCATCACATTTTTGTGCAAACTCAATTGGAAGAAGGCTGCTGAAGAGGTGCGCACCTGCATCTATTGACAGTTTATCACACTTTCATTCATCAAAGCATGTCATTAACTGTTATGTCTGATCAGGCTGTAGTGCGAGCGGGAGTCCGCGTCAAAGAAGAAAAAAACACGATCAAGATGGAAAATAGAGGTGAGTGGGCAAACTGGCTGGAACATCCCGTTATTACAGTGTCTTATTCATGCTTCTCTTTCCAAACCCTAGACTCTAATCACATCCAGACGCCAATCAGTACTATTGCATCCAGTGGTGAGAGCGCCGAGGTGGACCACGTATACATGGAGGTGCAAATACCAGAAGAGAGTCAAACCACCAACACCACTACAGTGGGAGATGTTCTGTCAGTGTCACAGCTGGTGTTACGGCGCGGCCTGGCGATACTCATCATGATCCTCATCCTCGCTGCTGGAGTCATTACCAACACCGTCCTCACCCCGCTGCTCAAATGATGTAATGGGTTAAATGTATTGTTGTGTATATACATACACGCTTAGCATATTTAGTGTGCACACAAAAAATACCACTTTTTATTTTATTTGCCTTAATCAACATATCACAAAAAGATATCAGAAATACCAAAAGAAAATTAAAGAATTTAATTTAATTTAGCTATCTCTTCTGTCTAATTGTGTTTCTTTTACAGAAACTATGTATTAAATAGCATATTTATTTATAGCTAATAGCTAATAATAGTTGTATTTCTGATTTCATATAAGGGTTTTTTTTGTGTTTATTAATGTTTGCTAATTATATGTTTTAAATAAAGATTAGATTCACATTCAGATACATATCAGCCCATGCAATAAATGACATCTTCTCAGACAGTTTCATCAAACAACCAGTACTGTTAATTATCAATGTCCATAATAGCAAATCTAGCACAGTTCGACTCTGAAGTCAGATTTTTTACCCATCTAATCTTGGTGGCTGTTTCTGTGCCTCCCTCTGCTAACCCCACATGTGACATTATCCACTCTGTCATAGCCAATTCAATTCAAATTCTTTATTGTCCCACAGGGTGAAATTAGTTTAGCAGCAGGCAAAATAAAAGTAAACAAAACAATAATATAAAATAATAATGACAATAATAGTAATAGAAAGTCACAGGACGGTCATTTGCCACTAAGGAGATGGGATGCAGTAGGGATAAAAGAAACCTGGAGTCTTGTCTTCCTCAAAGGTACTCTAAAACGGCGCCCAGAAGGCAACAACTCAAACTCACTGTGAAGTGGATGGTTCAAACAATTAACAATAGAATGAGCCTTCCTAAGCACATTTTTGTTGTAAATGGCCAAAAGTCCATCTTGCCAGCGCCCTGAAATTTTGCTAGTAGTTTTTACCAGAAGTCCAAACTTATTCTTATTCTTCACCGTCAGGTTACCAAACCAGGCAGTGAAAAGACATCATTCAATATAACTACAAAACAAAGACAACATCTCAGATGAGACATTAAAGGATCTCATTTTCCTTAAAAAGAACAGTCTTTGTTGAACTTTTTTAGTAGTGGCATCAGATTGAAATGCAGCTGGATGCCTCTCTTGTGTCCTGGATAGAGTACCGGGCTGTGGTTGACTCCTTTGTCAATGCGGTGCGAGCACAATCATCTTGATTGTGGACTTTAGGATGACCAGGAAACCTGCGTCCCCTGCTTCAATCCATTGCCACATACCTAGTTTCAGGGACTAAGATGCACGGAGAAGAATGGAGAATTTGCAATTTGAGAAATGAGACCCAATAAAAACTAAATGTGGAAGACGATAACAAATCACAGCACAGTGTGGTGCATGACCTTAAAACCAAAGAAAACCAAAACATTTAGCATGTTTTGGTTTTCTTGTTAGCTCACAAAATTTGTGGCATTGTTCCTCCTGATGACTGTTCAGATAAGCCAACTGACCTGACATAACTCATTTCCAAGACAAGCGGCTTGTCCACTCGAGGGCTGGCAGCAGGAGTCAGCCAACATCCTGTTATACAAGAGGCATATAAGAGGTCAATAGAGTCACATCCTGAGCTGAGGTCCAGAAAGACAGTGGGAGTTTGAGTGCATAATACAGTTTTTACTATACGTTTTTTGTGTTCACAGAAGGAAAGAAATCCAGGGAAGCCTTGAAATATTGTCATTTACCCTCTCTAACACTCTGTTTCTGATGAAGCTGGACGATAGAGATGATCAAGAAAACTAGTGGTGAAGCAACAAAGACAAGTAATACACCCTTGTGGTTAGGAGCGGAGCAAGATCCCCTTTCCCCTTAGTGGGGTGGGTCACCTTCTCCACAGAGCCTGATTCCACCCAGTAATTCTTCCTCCCAGAGGAAGCATTTGCTTTGCAGGACCTCACGGTCACTGAACAGAAAGACTCCTAATTAGGAGTTTTCAGAGCAGAGACACTGTAAACGCCCCTAGAGAGTTATTGCATGTTTGGTTGTGTAATTAGTTATAGCAATGATAAAGGACTAGAAAACAAAACATTTAGTTTTATAGACTTTATGACACTTTTTGCTGCCACTGAAGATGGAAAAATAAAAACCTAATTCAAGCATAAAAAAGTGCTCTTACTCAAGTACAGCAGACTGAGGAGGAACACCACCTGGTGAGTAAAACAGCTGTGATCTGTCCTTTTTGAAATTCAGTTTTGGGTAGGAAGTCAGTCACAATGTGGATTAACCTGCTGTTTACCACCCGTCTGTCTGTTAAAGATTATTTTATAGTTTGAATAAGCTTTGTAGCAGTACTCTGTTTATGTTATTCACTGCTTTCTCGTCTGTCCAGATAAACCAATATCTGACACTACAGTACAGTCTGATCTATATACTTACCCAAACATCACCATTTATCTTTGCAAAACCATATTCACCGTTTACTGACGCCATACAATAAGCATTGGTGCTTTAGAACACCCTGCTGGTTATATGTGGTTATGTCACTTGTTCTGTGGTTTTACAGTTGAAGTAATGGAACGTTTTCTGGGTTATTACTTAATTAAGGAATAATTAAACCTGACAGGCAATTTAAGGTGAATACTGTCAAGCATCCACTCCTTGCACCCACCACATCATCCCTGCTCTAACGTTTTTTTCTCCCTCATGCTTGTCATACTTGCAGATGTCAATAAAGTTGTATCGGCTACATGTGTCAGCATCTAGCTACAGAAGCACAGCTGGTAACTTTTTTTGAAGTTTCGAGTAATTTTGGATACAGTGTTTCAAACACTGTATCCAAACACAAGAGAAAAGTCACACATGAAGTTTGTTACACAAAATGCACATCGTACTCCAGCACCAGAGTAAAGGGTGTGAGAGCACTGACTTGAAATAGAGGAAATAGGTGAATTAAAACTGAAAGTTTTATCTGTCATGTTTTAGAGAGTAAAAATGGACTGAAATGCAGAGACATTGGAAGCAGAGTATAATGAGCCATTTATTTTGGCTGATTAAATAGAGTTAGCAATGTGGTGCACAAAGTTCAGGATTTCAGAGGGAGGGTACGCACTTTTCATGCTTGCAGTTTCTGCATCTGAGCCTGAATCAAGATTTTGACCAATGACAGACCTCTCAGCTGGAGTTAAGGAGCAGTACTTCAGCATTACTACAGCTGTCTTGGCTCTCTGCACAGACTCACTGTGTCCTTTTTAAATATAATGGCATGCCACTGTGGTCGAGGTTCTGCAGCAGGTAATCTGAGATCATTGTACATCAAGTGCATCATTTAAAAGCAGTAAGGCTGCAGCTTCATGGATTATTGCAGTTCACTAATTTTCTTGTTATTGCTAATCTGGTTAATGCAGATTAATGGCTTCACAAGTTAACACACATAGTAAACAAGGTGATTGTTGCAAGCATCAGTTTATGCTGCCTCCAAAGACATAGCCTGGTTGCCCAGTCTGAAAGAGAGAGGGCTGTTCAGAGACTCCATATTAATTACGATAGTGCCAGTGATCCATGCAGATGTGGTTACTGTCTGTATATGGTTTCCTCATGCATTCAGCAGACTGAACTTTGCCCTCAGTAATGTTTGGACAACTACAGTGGGATGCAAAAGTTTGGGCAACCTTGTTAATAGTCATTATTTCCCTGTATAAATCGTTGGTTGTTACAATAAAAAGTGTCAGTTAAATATATCATATAGGAGACACACAGTGATATTCTCTTTAACTCACACCACAGATTTTCAATAATATTCAGGTCTGGGGACTAAGATGGCCATGTTGTACTTGTTCCTCTGCATGAATGTCTTAGTGGATTTTGAGCAGTGTTTCGGGTTGTTGTCTTGTTGAAAGATCCAGCCGGTATGAAAAGGGAAAAAAACAAAACAATGCTTGGACACTGCTAGCACGGGCACCCACACAAACGCAAAGCAGGGGATGAAGCATAGCTGAATATGTTTCCAAACCAACTTCATTCTAAGCCAAAGAAAATGTGGTGAAGCATATCTTCCCTTTGGCTTCACCTGCACAAGTGCCAAAGTAGGTCTCCCCTGCAGAATTGGTTTTCCCTTCGTCGGGAGCAGCGCTGGGCTGTTCAAATCATGGACAAACAGTATCCCACAATCTTGATTTTTAGTTCACAAACCCTTCTTGTAATGACTAACTACTCCTGACATTGTGGAGATGTTTGCTCTTTATACAGTAAAGTTACAGTGGGATACAAATAATATCAGGCTGATCTTGCCACGATTTGTTCCCCCTGTCTAAATCATGGACAAACAGGATCCCACAGTTGTTTATTTTTTTAAACCCATTTTGCACAGAGAGGCATTTTTTGAAAAATGTATTGATAGCAATGTTGAATATTATTACACAGGGAAAACATCCAACTACATGTAAAATAATTACACCGTGATGCCTCTGCCTTTGTAAATGGAGGGACAGTAACTGCGTGTGTGTATGTAAGCGTGTAAAACCTGAAGATAGAGACAAAATACTGTTTATCTGCCATTCTGCAATTAACGCACAGCGTGACGTGAAAAAAGGCACATATCTTTGACGTTCCGTGACGAACTCTGTATTCCTGTCCACACGTAAACGCAAAAAAGGAGTTTTAAAAAATCTCCATTTTCGGTGATTCAAAACGCCGTTTACGTGTGGCCGAAACAGCTGCGTGTTCAAAAATACCCGTGTAGGTGCGGACGTAGCGTAAAAGAGTTAGTAGTTTACTTTCTTACTACCTGTAATTTATTGCAGATTACTTGTATTTGCTTAATTGTTTACTAAATGTTTGAGGTGTGAAATAAACCGCAATGGAGCAAAATATGGGTGTGTGTGGTTGGAGGATGTGTTTGTGCATGCGTGTGCGCGCGGGGGGGGGTTCTTGTAAAACAAAGGGGGGCCTAGCAAAAACAGTTTGGGAACCACTACCCTAAACCATGATGGTGAACAATCTTTGTCTTCAGGTCATTTGAGAGTTGTTTTGAGACCCCCATGTTGCTACTCTTCAGAGGAAATTAAAAGAGGAGGGAAACTTACAATTGACCTCCTTAAATACTCTTCCTCATTATTGGATTCACCTTTGTATGTAGGTCAGGGGTCACTGAGCTTACCAAGCCAATTTAAGTTCCAATAATTAGTTCTAAAGGTTTTGGAATCAATGAAATGACAA